TCTGGAGTTGCTGAACTCTTAGCTCACCCAGACAGACGTCCAGGCTACCCGGTCGGCACCACGAGGAGGTGGTTCAGCTCGTCGACCTTTTTTCTCCTTCTGATATTACTTCGAGTAAAAAGACAATAGCACCCACACAGACATCAAGAGAGAACAACAAGATTACTCCCCGCTAATGTAAATTTCTGCAGTAGCTGTTTATTTTCGGAGCATGCAGTCCTGCGTGGCTGCTTTATTCCTCACAGAACTTTCCCTGAAGCAAACCCGTTCACTAGAGCTGTCATGTTAATGTGCCAAATTTCGCGAATCGACGCTCACCATACTGTCTCGGGCAAATAGCTCATAAAACCACAAATCAAACTATCGCAGCATTAACCGTTATTGAATTTTCGTGTGTGAGAAACGGACCCAAGATCGGTATAGTAGTTAATACATTATCATTAAAATTAGTCAGGTGTGCTTTGAGATGTGTAGTTTCCAATTATATTTTCATTTCCTCCCGGTGTGGCTGAAAGCCAAACGTGAGTTTGAACAGCGGGGATATTTATTTTTACCCACTCACTATGAACTTGCATGCATCAAACTTGATGATCAGTGATAAGTGTTTTGCAGGTGATTCTATGTTGCCGACAAATTTGTGGCAAACACAACTGTTAGTTGGCAATAGGGGAGAACAACTGATGTTTTCTATACGGATGGTTTTCTGCCGGTAAATTCTGCTTAGTTTATCTGGGAAAAAATGTGAGAACAACTGATCGTTCGTTTGCAACAGGCACATTCCGTGGAGTTTATACGGAAGAAAGTGGTCCGTTCGAACATATAACCGATCAGCTTCAAAACCACGTGAACGCTGCTGATATACTCGCAGGTTGTCCATACTGTGACACAAATATTCGAGATGCTGTAGCCATATTCTTCCTCAAGAAACGGACCTAGCCTTCAGTGATTCCGCACTACTGAGCTATCCCTGGTACCCTTTTTTACTATCAGTATTCTTTGGAATCACTGACAATTGTGTGAAATTTCAGACTGACTACAAACATGCTTTGCACAATAAACGTATCAATGGGATATTGCTTGAACTATGTGAAAGTAAACTTTTAAACAGCAGTTGTTTTCGGCGAGAGTATGCATGTGTGGAATGCAGGACCGCAGTGATCAGTCTTCACAAGTCGCCAGGACAAACATTAACGCAACCGATCACCTAATGAGTTCTCGTGCCACGCATTGATGTATTTCCTAATTTATATATAGGTTCTCCTCTCCTCTACTGTTTTTCTTCTTCGTGGATAATATGTATTGCTATTTTTATAAAGTAAACTTGTGAACAAAAAGATAATGATGAATACTTACATGCATCTGTGAAATGCATAAAGCCAGAACGCCAAACAGGTTTTCCGAATTTGTGCAAAACACAACACAAAGCCTAATTAACATGTTATCCCCAGCACCAAAATGCCCTGCTTTTGTTTACCCACCAGAAATGAGTAAACTCTACCCTAATTCGTGCTTGGCGGATAAAAGCCTATTTGATCCTCTAATTTAGAACGGGGACACCATATTAAATATTTTACCGATCGGTGCTCAATGATTTGGAACGCTGCTTCTTGAACAACTGTGAAGACACTTCTTTGAATTTCCGCCTTTCGGATTCAGAAACCGCATTCCAGATTTCGGTTCAAGCATCCAGATGCAACAAATTCATCAAATATGCCCTCTGGAACTCACATCATATAAAAGCCATAAAAATTCGCTGTCGTCAACTCACCCGACAAGCTCAGAAATAGGAGATTTTGGATAAGACGTTTCCATAAGTTTCTAATATATTGTGGTATTGACCAGGTTACCTACGCACACAGCGTATCGAGAATGGGACGTATTGACTACAACCACTGTGTTGTCCGAACCACCTTCCCTCTTCCAGCTTTCTTGTACCCAATTGAGTGCATCATGCTTGTTCCAGTGGAACTTTATCGAATTTCTCATGTGCTGACTTATTGGCATTCTTTCACCTGGCTGCTAGGGGCTTGAGCTAATCTTGACGAACAGCTCATATATTTCGACAAAATACACAAACGATGACTAAACTGCAGTGCTTCTATAGCGATTTGTAGCGATTTACAATTGCATAACAGCAAAAAGACAAACGGGGAACAGCAAGGTCTACCGAGCGCAACCTGTCATATTTATCTGCGACCGTTGACCTTCAGCTTGGAAGCTCATTGATTATTCAAAACGCTGACCACGTTGTTATTGGATTTGCCGTGTCACATGTGCACAAGTAACGATTGAGTTGGTTGCTGTTCATTCGGCAAATTCTGTAAGCTGCGACCGCGGAACCGACACCTGGTTGGTTTTGTTTGTGAACTGTCTAAAGTACGACGCTGCTTGAACTGGCCAGCACGACGGTGGAACTTCAAAGATAAGTAAGTAGGATTCTTCGATATAAAAAAGCCGTGATTTACGCCCTTGCTCAGAAGTGAAGTAAATTGCCGATTCACGATATCCGGGTACTGCGCGCACTGGTGTTGTAACTGCAAGTGGATGACTACTAACCTTTTAGGAAATGACTGTTCCAGGAAGTTATCCTGAGATTGTGAGCTACTGCAGGGACCTAGTAAATTCGAACCTTCAAGCTGTCGGGAGTCTGTTGAGTGACGGGGCCTTTCGAAGAATTTACTCACCCAGCGTTTGACCTAAACAACTCAGTGCAGAACAGTGAAGATGGATGTGTATATTCGAAAACGTGCACAAACCAGTTGCATTTTATACAACATTTGCATTGCAAACAGACGGGCGCAATAAAACTTGTTTCGACATGGAAACTCAAGGTGTGACGATTAAGCAAATGATCCGACGGCAAATTTGTATGCCTCGTGGCTCGCAAAATATTTGTTAAGGTAGATGTCTAGCGGTATGTAAATCAATTATTTTGACAAAATACGAATCTAGAACTTATACCCTCTGGTAATATTGTGACACATTGCCAAAAGTGTGATCAGATTCCTTGCTTCATGCAATTAAGTTTTATTCCCCAATCGTTACAACACCTATACTGCGGGTGCCCCCTGAACATAATCAAATAAATTAGAACTCGCGGACTGCGCCTAACTGATGAGCCCCAAGAAGCGGGCTGTCGTGTAGATTCCTTCATGAAAATATCAGATTTCGTTTTGGTACGCTTTGAATCAGGCCAAATCTGCGAATTGCAGGTTCCAATTCACCCCAAGACATTGCGCTAAACAACCGGAATTTTGTTGGGGCTGTGGTTGGATCTCACTCAAATCCGCTTGCTCATGGCAATTGCAAGCTGACAAATGAATCCACAAATGAATAATCACTTTTCGTGCATACGTCGTTGTTGTTTCTTTATTTCAATATTTGTGCTTTAGCAAATAACCCGACGGCAAATATTATGCCTCGAGGCTCGCAACATATTTGTTAAGGTTGATATCTAGCTCTAATAAATCAAATTTTCACCGTGAGATGCGTCATTACGTGTATACTATGAGAATGGTTTGCCTACATCAGTTGATTAGCAACGTTTTTCATCGGTTATTTTTTGGTATAAATTTCTCTAGCATTCTGTGAAGCATTCAACGAGGAGCTTACCTGGAAGCAGCCAGTCAGTTCTTGTAAAAATGATACCCAAATATAGCTAAAAGAGACAACTATACAAACCGCATTCTCTGAAATAGGAGATGGACCGCTGGCGACTCGTTTTTTTCAGTTTATTGTTATATTTCCCAAAAGCGTGTATGAAATCTCGAATGCACGTACTATGTGGGAACAAGTGGCTCACCGGTGCGATGCATCGCATTTGGAAATCTACAAATTAGAAATTCTTCACTGATTACGCTGGTTGACCTCATTTAATATTCACAATGTGTTTTACCCGACGACCTCTCAACACAAGCTAGGTACTCTAATCCATGATCACACTGTGACAGCAAAGGAACATTTTGATCTGGGTACCGGTTAGCATTCACTAAGAAAGGACTACCATTTCGACGGTCAACCGTGTGTTGCCAACATTCGGTAACAAATACTACATTGCGTTTTCCATTACAACCCTAATGGTCGATTGCGCACTTCCGTTTCCCACTCAATACAGTCAGGTAACGCTAGTCTCACAATCTCCCGTGGAAGAAATTAGTACTAAATATTTTGGATAGTTTGTGGCGTTTCCGACCAGCAAACTGGTACTTCCGTGTGGCGATGTAGACAGATCTGAATGAAGCGTTAATTTCCAGGTGGTCAATTATATCTCAGAATTTCTAGTACAGATTTCTAGCGTGACACTGAACACAATAAATGAGCAGGTTCACCGATGGCATAATTTTATCAGCTAAAACCTGAGACTCATTGAAGACCCGGGACAGAGTTCTCGATCGCATATATTAGGAGGTAATCTATAAATGGCATATTTCAATGGCATATTTCCCGAAGATATGCTTATCAGAGTGCCACATTTTTTATATGCTAAATGTCTTTAGGCGACATTGGTTTACACCTGTTGTGCATGTGGTGTGTTGTCGGATGATATCGCACAAAATGGACTGCCAATGTTGGATGCGTAACCTGCGTCAAACCTATCAGTAATGAATGCGGGCCACTTATTAGTCACCGTACATTCCCCTGGATGAAGTGGCCTTATGATGGCAGTTGATTGGATATTCAAGGTAATTGACAAACACGATAAATGACAAACTACCTACAGATATATCTGTCAACAACACAGATTTTTGAGCTCATTTTAGCTTAGTTAACCCAATGTATTCCGCGTGACAAAGGGAAATGCTAAAGGTCGATTTCAGTAGACGACAATGAAGAACACCTGAGGTACGCGTGCTATATTCTGGAAAGTTATCTCACAAAATGTACTGCCAATTGTGGACGCTTAACCAGGTGACATTGGAATGGTTCAAACCTATAAGTAATGAATATGGGCCACTCACTGATCGCAATAATTCTCCGAGGTGGAAGGAACGTTATGGTGCTATTTGCCTAGATTTTCAAGTAAACTGCCACACGAAACTAGCGGGCCTTTCCAACATTTCTTATATTACTCGGTTGCGCCAGTTGATGCTTACGTGGTTTAATTTGTCATCGTGTTGAAGAGGAACAACTTTTAACACGTAAAAAGGAAAGAACTTGAAAATATAGTGTGCAATATAAAAATAGTGATCGGTTATCTAGAGCGACTTGTTGTGCGTCTCTGTATTGTGTATTTGTGTTTGACCTATACATGTGTTGACCACAGTTTTTCTCGGTTACTTTTTTTTACGTTAATTTAAATTATTAAGGATAAAAATTAATCTTCCAACTGTGTGGGCCGGTGTATACAACCAGAGCGTAAGCACCCGTTTCCACCCTCACACATTCAGGTTTCGCCAAAGTGTGATGTCTGTTGCAGGAGTTTTCCACAGGCATCGGACGTCCGATTACCGGCGCGCGGACGATGCAATATCTGTCGGAATTGAGCACACACATTAAAGGCATCAACTTGTGCGTTCGTGGGCTCATGAAAGAAATGTTGCAATTGTGAACAGGTCACTGTAAAATTCCGTGTAGGTGAAGGTTTCGAAACCTGAAAATTGTCGAATATTCGTGGATCACCTGATATCAGCGACATTCCTGTTTGCACTTTAACGTAACATTTGTACTATAATTGCTCGCTTCTGTAACCATGCTCTTCATTGATAGCCCGCTTTCCGCTGGTCTCGTTGAGGAAAAACGTCATGGGTGATAGGTTTGCATGCGGGGAGAACAATAACCGCTATAAAATGAATAAAAATTTGCATGTGGGTGTGATTACGAACCAAGCTGTTCGCAGAAACCATGCATAAAAGGATCACCGATGAAAAGCTAGTATGATAGAAAACAACTTTAATTTGCTTAGGCAGTGATGCTAAACCAAGTAATTGCTGGACCTCAGAAGACTCGGAATATGGGAAAACCAACTAACAGTTTGTACCATATTCTTGGCAACCATCAATGAAGCATAGTGTATTGAACTAATAACACGGATTCGCTAAGTAGTACTTTGTTGTGAGTATCCAGACATAAATACGAGTGGGCGTAGAGGCGGCATTTGTCATCGTCAGTGCTGAGTTCCCGATGACCTTTGGTAGAAACCAAGTATGGTTAGGGTGAACTACAATCTCGTTCTGGTGCCTAAATACGACCTAGATCGGCAGACGTGCTTGCGAGAGGAAAACAACCTATCACTTCTTGGAGCGCACCGATTCCATCAGACAATTTCAATGCATTTACTTGTATAATCATTTTCAGTTATTAGAATTGAGAAAGTCTTGAATCGCTACGAAAGTAACCCGGGCAATTGTGACTTTTCAATATCTCTATTTGGTTTGATACATATGCGTTGATTTGAAGGTTGGGAATAAATGCAGCTTTGCAGCAGATGAACAATCAAAACGCACCTGCTGCATAATGCCAATTCGTTTACCGGGATAAAAGATTTGTGTAATGCTACAAACAAACCGTTAAACTTTTAGAAATAAAAATAAAACTCCTGACGGCAGAAAATGGAGCCATCCCAATGGAGATGAAGTTCTTCTGACGTACCGATTAACGAGCCAAGAAGTGATGTACATCATTAGGCAATGCACGCCCTACCTACCCCTATGGTGTCAACGCAGCCTTTAACCATCCAAAATAGGAAGAACTAGCTTTGTTTATCGTTTTTCCCTCAGCCAGGCTCATGGACGATATTGTGGGAGTCCACTGTACTGGAATGTGTGGCGCACCAACACAGCCTAGACACTGGGATCCATCTCACACAATTTCGTCATATCACGTGTTGTCCAGCCCGATGTGTTCGCTGTTAGAATGAGGCACGGAAACACTCGTCTCATCAGACGATATGTTGACATGCGTACCATAAGGCCGTGTCACCTGAGTTCATTGCAGCGGATGATTTCCGTGACTAAATGCGGTACAGTACACACAATTGACGGTTTCTCGATTACCACGTGATGTTTTCGTCGACGGCACCCGGCCATGTTGTGAGTTCGGCGACGGCACCTGCCACCAGCAATATTTTTGAGAAGTCAGGGAAGGTAGACGCCGTTAAAACATCGTCCAAACAATTCATGCATTGCTACCATATAGTGATGCAGCCGTTGACGTGGCCTGAAACCTGCGGTAACCAAGGTCCAGTTGCATGTTGTTTTGACACCTTACGTGACTCGAATCAGCAAAAAAGCATCCCAACACTAAGGTTCATGCAGTGATCACATCGGACGTTCAAGTCAGTGCTAGTACAACTACCGAGGTAGGCAAAATTCTCCACTGCTACTCCATTAATTCCAAGAAGCATGCATAAAGACTGCACGCTAATAATCAGAAAGATGCACTCCGTAGTTCCAATAAAGTAGTGTTCATTTCATTCAGCAAAGCCTGTGTTCTGCTCTAGTGTGGTTCAAGTGCTGGTTTCCGCGTACGAATTATAAGGGTATTTATGTAGACTAGTTTCGTAGTTTGAATAAAAAATTACAGGTGTTCCAATTTGTTGTGAACTTGAATGCGCCAAGCTCTAGCTGAGCATAAACGCAGCTGAATCTCCGATTTGTTGTGATCCACTCCCAGTAAACGTGTCACAGCTGGTCGCTTGCTTTTCAGCTGTTAAAATATCGGGTAAATCCTGTTGAAATTGAGTTTGTTTGCAGAGGGAGAGCGTATCTGTTGAAAAGATTTGTCAAAGACTGAGGTCGGCTTACACTAATTTTGTTGTTACATATGCGTTTCTCAGCGAAACTTTTGCAGATCGACGCTGATGCAAGTAACACCATCTTCAGCGCAATGATCCTCATTTATGCTGAAGCCTTGAGCACCTTTTATGTGGAACTGATTGACTTATTTCGTAAGATTGTTTTTCGTGTCCCGCTTTTTTTAGCTTACAATGATGAACGTTACTGCGATATATAGGTGAGTCGACAAAACTTATGTATTTTGTGTCTGACGCTAAAAACTCTCAACAGAGATTTGTTTTGCCGCCTGATTGAACGCGACTTGGGTAATTTTTCGAGCAGAACTGATAGTAATTAGCCTGATGACAAATCGTGAGAATTTCAGTCCTTGGAGTAGAAGTCCCAGTTGTACAAATCTCGAAATATTTCACAAAGAACAAGCACAGAGGACCGCAGAGCTGACTAGTCAGTCAGTGACTAAACGAAATGGATTACAAATTCGTAGACAAAAAAATACCGCTTTCAAAATTGCGGGATTAGCACATTCAGACAGGCCACAATGCTGTCACTGGGATAAATGCATTCACACTCATGAATTACTGTTTTCCCATTCACGTCGGCTAGCAAAGTACTTCAAAAATTAGTTCACATGCAATCATCAAACATAAATCGTCATAGATCATCTGCCGAGAATAAAGCTAAACGCAAAATACGTGAGAGCGAAATCATCTAAAATCTTCTGTTAGCAAGGTGGTTTCCCATCCAAACCTGGACGCATACGAGATTACCACCGAATCACCATAATCATCATCATCGCTTTCATTCTCATCATCATCAACATCGTCATCATCATCCATGTCATGCTCATCATTATCAGCGGCATGAGATGAGTGTTCAATACCG